CACCAATCGCAGTTCCTCAATTGAATATGATCTGACCATGAAACAAGCAACTCATGGGATTTCCGATCAACTTCGACCTATTATTATTCCGCGTATTTTTACTGAAAAGTACCAACAAGTCAATTGCATGAAAAGATATTTTACAGACGGGTCCCGTCTCAATGGATCCACTGGCTTCGGTGTCTTCAATGAAAACTCTAGCGCCTTCCGCAAACTTCAGGAACCTTGTTCCGTTTATGTTGCTGAGCTGGCAGCAATCAACTTCGCATTCGGGATGATTTCCAACATGCCCGCAGACCATTACTTCATCTTCACGGATAGTCTCAGTTCGATTGAGGCTATTCGGTCGATGAAAGAAGGTAGGCACTCATCTTATTTCCTTTCAAAGGTAAGGGAGCAGATGTGTGTGCTGGTCGAAAGATCATATATGATTACCTTTGTATGGGTCCCCTCACATTGCTCAATCCCAGGCAATGAGAAGGCGGACTCTCTCGCAAAGGTGGGCGCGCAGGAAGGCGAATTGTATGACAGGCAAATTTCACACGATGAATTTTACCATTTAGTGCGTCCGAGTACCTTTTCGAGTTGGCAAACCGATTGGGACACTGGAAATCTTGGACGGTGGTTACATTCAATTATTCCTAATGTTTCTTCGAGAGCGTGGCTTAAAGGCTTGGGCTTAAGTCGTGACTTCATTCGCGTGATGAGTAGACTTATGTCCAACCACTACTCGCTAGATGCTCATCTCAATAGAATAAACCTCGTGGACAGCAACATCTGTCGGTGTGGAAACGGTTACGATGACATCGAACACGCAGTTTGGCAATGTACGGATAATGACGCCGCCAGAGAGCGACTTTTGAATACCCTCGAGGCCCAAGGAAGACAACCCTATGTTCCTATCAGAGACGTGTTGGCAACCCGTGATCTCTGCTATATGCAGTCCGTTTATGTTTTTCTTCAAATGTCTAGTATAAGAATTTAATTCCTTTTGTCTTTTGTCTCTCTTTATTAGTTTTTGTTTGTCTTGTCCCCCCGTCTCGATGAGTCTCATCGTCGCCCACTGGTCACCCACCATAGCCGGTCGAACTCCGGACGAAGCTAGAACAGCACTACCGTTCATACTGGCGACAACGCTCTGATGAGACAACGAAACCCTACCCCAAGCTCCTCCCCTGATCCTATCCTTCGAAAATGTACCCTTCTAACCTCGAGTAAGCCGCGAGTAATCGGCCCAACTCCTACTAGACATAGAATTAAGTGAATTTTGTTACACACAGTGAACAATGAATTATCGGCTCCGTAAAGCTAACGCGATTGAGCCTTCCAAATAAACGAACTAGATAAAAAAAAAAGTGGAAATCTCGAGCCGTCTTCGATGAATTCCACAGTGAACATCAGTTTCTCTATAGCGAGCTTCGGATAGCCTACGACGGGTACTACCAGCACCCTGAAATGATAACCACCATCAACCGGTTGAAAGGTGAAATGCTAGCGCTTCAACGGAGATTTTCCTACACGTTCAAGCGAATGAATGAAACACATGTGGCGGGAGAACCCATGTCAATATACCAATTGGGGAAGAGGCGAACGAAGAGAACCGTCATCACGCAGCTGCAGACATAGCAAGACGAAACGGTAGCAGAGCCACGAGCGATCGTGATGCACATGATGGACTACTTCTCGACGCTGTACTCGGAGGACGAAATAGAAGACCCATCGAATGAAGCCTGCACGGACGACATCACGACGGCAGAAATCTGGTCTGCAATAACAGCGAGTGTCCCACGAAAATCTCCCGGCTGCGATGGTATTCCGAGAGAGTTCTACCACGGCATGTTCGACGTCATCCACCGAGAGTTGAATCTGTTGCTGAATGAGGCATTCAGCGGTAATCTTCCTCCAGCGTTTGTCGATGGCATCATCGTGCTGATTAAGAAGAGAGGCGGCGACGACACAGCCCGTTCATATCGTCCGATCTCGCTGCTCAACAGCGACTACAAGCTCTTCTCCCGAGATGTTTTTAAGACAGGTGGGCAGGAACTCACGGTCTCCCAGTGTTGGTGAGTTCTTTGCCGTTAATGTTCACGAAAAGTTCACTATTTTGCCATACAGAAATTCAAAACAAAAATTTTTATCTGCGGATTTGGACTGTTTTTGACCTGCTTCGTACGACCGAAAGGTGTATGCTGGTCACAAATGCTTTGCCAAACTGATTTCCTGCGCAATTAATCAATCTTTGATGTGAATTTCGCTAATAAACACGAGGAGCATTTCTTATAGCAAACTTGCCATAACAAAATGGGCATGGTTCATTTAAGTAAACAAACTAACACTTCTTCCGACTGTGGCACCTCTCTTACTCGCCTGGCTCTTCTCCCGCGTTCTCAAAACCAGACTCGAGCAAGTGATGAGAGAGCTCCACGTCTTGAGCGACGGGCAGAAATGCTCCAACTCAGAGCACAATATCTTTCAAGCCACTCTTGCTCTCAAGGACCGGATAGCACATCTCCGCCCGAGATGTTTTTAAGACAGGTGGGCAGGAACTCACGGTCTCCCAGTGTTGGTGAGTTCTTTGCCGTTAATGTTCACGAAAAGTTCACTATTTTGCCATACAGAAATTCAAAACAAAAATTTTTATCTGCGGATTTGGACTGTTTTTGACCTGCTTCGTACGACCGAAAGGTGTATGCTGGTCACAAATGCTTTGCCAAACTGATTTCCTACGCAATTAATCAATCTTTGATGTGAATTTCGCTAATAAACACGAGGAGCATTTCTTATAGCAAACTTGCCATAACAAAATGGGCATGGTTCATTTAAGTAAACAAACTAACACTTCTTCCGACTGTGGCACCTCTCTTACTCGCCTGGATCTCCGCCACCCCAGGCGAGTAAGAGAGGTGCCACAGTCGGAAGAAGTGTTAGTTTGTTTACTTAAATGAACCATGCCAATTTTGTTATGGCAAGTTTGCTATAAGAAATGCTTCTCGTGTTTATTAGCGAAATTCACATCAAAGATTGATTAATTGCGTAGGAAATCAGTTTGGCAAAGCATTTGTGACCAGCATACACCTTTCGGTCGTACGAAGCAGGTCAAAAACAGTCCAAATCCGCAGATAAAAATTATGGGTGGGTGGGTACGTTCCTCTGGAGAGGGACTGTCGCTTGTGTCCCAATGATGCAGCTGGCACGCAGCAGAGAGAATGGAGGCCTGAAGCTGCAATTACCAGCTCTGAAATGTAGGTCACTCGCAATCAACCGACACCTACAAGAGATCGAATCCCTTCCTTTTTGTAGATCCCTTCTTTTCCACGATAATCCCCGCCCAGCCATCTCAATAGATCTTCCCGAGCTTAGACAAATCCTATCAAACTTATCCCAAATTACCCACCAAATCCAACAGAACCCCTCCACCGATAAAATTCACCAGCACTTCGTCCAGCAAACTGAGCTACCAAGGGTGGAACGTAACAGTCCAGCAAGTGACTGGTCACGCACATGGCGAAACATTGCATCGAGGCAACTTACTTACTTACTTATGTTCAGTAAAAATGCACAAATGCACACAATGAGTTACTGAACATTTCAGCTGATTTCATGGTACTTATTAACCTTTCTACAGCAGCTTTTCCGATGATATATGGTACAATTACACTTCAAAATGGTGCAAAGCGGTGCATACTAAGGAGCATTTTCAAATGCTTAATGTACAGTTTTCTCTATTTTAGGGAGCGTACTTTAAATATTTACTGAGCATTTTAAGATTTTTAACGTATTTTGATCAATCATTTAAGGAGTAACCCGATCTATTTTAAGGAGATTGTTTTTACTTATTAAGGAACATCGTCATTGTTTAATGATTCATTTACCTTTTTACCCTTTCAAAACTAGATTTTATTTTATATTCATACTCGAATCGGTTGAAAGTTACACTTAATGTTCTAATTTACTCGATAGCTATCCATTGCAAGCAATATTTTGATAATTGTTTATGTTTTGAGAGTTGGTGGATTGGTAGGTAGATTGAGGTTAAGGAAACGCCACTGGATCTACCCAATCCGTTTTTGGCCCTTTATACAGCGACATGTTGAGGACAATCAGAGGTTATTAAGCTTGATCAAGGTAAACAGAGAAGAGAGCCCACTGCTGTAGGACTTAGTTTCCGTGCTACAATGGGTGGTAACCCGAGCAAAGTCCAGCATCAAAATGACAGCAAATTGAAATCAAGTTTTGATATCAACATCAATCTGAAATCATAATTTGATTTCAGTTTACGCAATTGACAAATTTCATACCAAATTTTGTTTTCATTCTGCAAATGTACAGCTCTTTAAAAATATGTTGTTGCGGGTTTGTTTTCATTGCCTTAGCATAACATCAAATTGAATACTTGTTGTGTTATCAACAAGAAAAATGGATATCAAATTGAGTTTTCAGTTTGATCTCACTGATAGCAGAAATAGTTTTTAATGTGATGGAAGGAAGATTTTTGGCTTTCAATTTTGATATTTTAACCGTTAAAACGACCAAACGACAGCAACCTGAGTAATCATCATCAGCGAAATCACAGCATCAAATTTAGATTTCAATTTGATCGCAGAATCTGCTCGGGACACCATTATAACTATCACTATCACATACAGTGACATGTTGAGGACAACCAAAGATTACTAAGCTTGATCAAATCAAACAGTGAGGAGTGCCCACTGCAATCGAACTTAGTTTCCGTACTAAAATGAGTGGTAGACAATTATCATCATCATCCCGAATAAAACAGGAGGGTGGCTGACACAATTCAAAACCACCGTTATATAAAGCAACCGCTTAGAAATCCTCAACCAGCATTATTGCAATGTTGGGCTCCCGGCTCGGTTCGCCAGATTAGTCGAGCCGAGCTTCGAGAAACATGACTATGTGAATAACCATGCTTTACCCTCACTCCAATCAACTTTAATGGCTCCCTACCCCATCGTTCTAAAAAATTCAACAAACACTACCTTTAACAGAAAGAAATCCTTTCTTGCCGAGCACCATATCGGCATCGATCGACAGTCGGAAATTCCCCTCGTAGTGCAGGTCCAACAGCACATCCAAGCTCTCGATGTGTGCCTCGTCCGGGTGAAGTTCGACGTTGTGCAGCCGAAAGTTCTTAATCTCGGGAAACTGGCTACCCAAGTCGAGATCTCGAATCTAAAAATACAAAAAAGGATTTATCAATTTTTCATGAAGCATTCGCGAGCACCTCAGAAGTTCGGTTGAATATTTCATGTTGCTCACTTACCGAAAGCTTGTCGAACAGCTTCCCGGTGGTTGTTTTGCTTATCAGCTCATCCAATTCGAGCGAAAGCTTGCGATGGAACCACTTGCGAACCCGGTTCGAGTGTCGCAGCTCAAAGTACAGAAACTGCAGAATCAAGTTGATGGCCATGATGGTTGATTTGCTCTCCGCATCCGGCGCTTTGATGCTGGATAGAAGTGTCTGTTGTCGGAAAGATGGAAGAAAGGAAAAAAAGGAAAAACCTCAGGTGAGAAACGTTTTATGGTGGTGTTCGCTGGTGGGAGAAGGGGAATTGTTTGCTCAAGCTTTCCCAAGGGGCCGGCAGGAATTTGTAAATGATGAACAAACATTCAGTGGGGTGGTAATCCTAATCTTGCGATTTTTTTCCCCTTAAGTAGCCCCTGAGGGTTCAGAATTGTAATCAAAATTATTTGGAAGCAGCAGATAGTTGGCAGCTAGGAGGATGGAATTATTCCGTGGCAGAGAAAAATTGGCTTCCTTTGTAGGGTATGCTGGGAACATGTTAGCCTACCAGTTAAGGTGTGTGGTTGTAAGGCGTACAACGGTAGAGGTGGTGGTGGGTCGAGGATATGTTTGGGTTGGACTTCTGAGGGCATAACTCTATACCCAAGCAATTCACACATGCTCTATAACAGTTTATATAATCTTTGTACGGCTGGTTTTGGTTGTATAACAGTTTACTCAATACTTAAGTATTAATAACAGTAGAAGAGTACAAATGAATAATAAGTTTAGCATTGACAGTAAGTACGAGCTGGGAAAACTTCGACTACCTGTGCGTTTGTTCGTTCCCCGGGTCATGAACTGCCAAAACTGTAAGCAGTTGGGACATACGGCCTCCCACTGTGGCAGCAAGGCACGCTGTTCCAAATGCGGAGAGAAGCATGGGGATGACACCTGTGCAGCTACCGCACCAAAATGCGTGTACTGTAAGGGAACTCCTCATGGTATCTCGTCATGCCCGGTGTACAAACAACGCGGGGAGAAATTACAACGCTCACTTAAGGAACGTTCCCGGCAGTCTTTTGCAGAAATGCTTAAGACGGCCACGCCATCGACCAACGACAAAAATCCCTTTTCTCTTTTGTCAGATGACGAGACTGACTCTGACTTGGCTGAGGAGGGAACTTCTTTCTGTTTTTCAGCACGGAAACGAAAACGCATCCGTTCGCGGAAAGTTGAGAATGAAGAACCCCAAATCAGCTTGCCCAAATCAAGGAGTGGTGGAAAAACGGAAGTTTCTACTCCTCCTGGATTCAGAAGAACTGACTATACCCAGGATTTTCCACCTCTCCCGGGGACATCCAAAACCCCTGATGTCCCATTTTTAAGAACAGAAGCCCCTTCTTCATCTGGGTTGTTCTCATTTGATAAAATTGTGGACGATATTTTCAAGTACCTGAATATTTCTGATCCTCTCAAAAGCATTGTTCTGGCAATGCTTCCTACTGTGAAGACCCTCTTGAAGCAATTGACATTGAAGTGGCCCCTCATTGCAGCAATCATTTCCTTCGATGGATAATTTTCCAAACGAGGTCGGGGATTTGATCACTATTCTACAGTGGAATTGTCGAAGTCTTATTCCGAAATTAGACTCTTTTAAGTTTTTAGTTCACAATAATGATTGTGATGCATTTGCTGTTTGTGAAACTTGGCTCTCTTCAGATATCGATCTTCCTTTTTATGATTTTAACATTATTCGACTGGATCGTGAGGATTCGCGTGGAGGAGGGGTACTTTTGGGGATCAAAAAGTGCCATTCTTTCTATAGAGTGAATCTTCCACAATTTACAGGCATTGAAGTTGTCGCATGTCAGGCTATTATTAAAGGTAAGAGCCTTTGTATTGCTTCTGTTTATATTCCTCCTAGAGCCGTCGTTAATCGAAAACAACTTTCAGATATATGTTCAGTACTTCCTGCTCCACGGTTGATTATGGGAGATTTTAATTCCCACGGTACAGGCTGGGGGGAACTGTATGATGACAACCGTTCAACTTTTATATATGACCTCTGTGATAACTTCAATATGACAATTCTTAACAATGGAGAAGTAACACGTTTGGCTGGACCATCTTCGAATGGAAGTAAATTAGACCTCACACTTTGCTCTAACTCATTATCGTTGGATTGCACGTGGAATGTGATCCAGGATCCTCACGGTAGTGATCACTTGCCGATCAAAATTTCGATTGCCAGTGGGTTCAATCCGTCGGAATCCGTTAACGTCGCGTACGACCTCACCCGTAATATTGATTGGACAACGTTCAAGACCGCGATAGAGGAAGCCGTGTCGTCGGTAGAAGGGCTTCCACCGTTGGAGGAATATAACTTCCTCTCCAATCTGATCTTGGACAGCGCGCTTCGAGCTCAAACTCGGCCGGTTCCTGGAACGTCTTTGCGTAGGAAACCTCCTTCCCCTTGGTGGGACCACCAATGCACTGAGGTTTATCGTAAAAAGTCCGACGCGTTTAAGCTTTTCCGGAAACGTGGAACACCCGTGTATTTCGAAGCGTACTCGGCTCTTGAACGCGAACTCAAGAGCCTCATCAAAGCCAAGAAACGCGGATACTGGCGGCAATTCGTGGACGGATTATCGCGCGAAACGTCGATGAATACGCTTTGGAACGCGGCGCGAAGGATGCGTAACCGGTCTTCGAACAACGAGAGCGAGGAGTACTCAGATCGTTGGATTCTCAAGTTCGCGCGAAAAGTATGTCCTGATTCCGTGCCGGCACAGATGATTCCTCGCGAAACGACGAATTCTGTAGACGAGATCAGCCAGCCTTTTTCAATGCTGGAACTCTCACTCGCGCTCCTTTCGTGCGGCAATTCGGCTCCGGGGGCTGATAGAATCAAGTTCAACTTGTTGAAGAACCTCCCAGACGTCGCTAAGAGGCGCATGTTGAACTTGTTTTGTCAGTTCCTGGAGCTCAATATTGTTCCGGATGATTGGAGGCAAGTGAGAGTTATAGCCATTAAAAAGCCTGGAAAACCCGCTTCAGATCATAACTCGTATCGTCCCATCGCGATGTTATCGTGCATTCGAAAATTGTTGGAGAAAATGATCCTTTTTCGCTTGGACAAATGGGTTGAGACGAACCACCTACTCTCAGATACTCAATTTGGATTCCGTAGGGGCAAGGGAACGAACGACTGTCTCGCGTTGCTTTCCACAGAAATTCAGTTGGCTTTTGCTAAAAAAGAGCAAATGGCTTCTGTATTCTTGGATATCAAGGGGGCTTTTGATTCAGTATCCGTTGAAGTCCTTTCAGACAAACTCCACGCTTGTGGCCTTTCTCCATTAATAAATAACTTTTTGTACAATTTGCTGTCAGAGAAACATATGAGCTTTTCTCATGGAAACTCTACAGCTTCTCGATTTAGTTACATGGGTCTCCCCCAGGGCTCATGTTTAAGCCCCCTTTTGTATAATTTCTACGTCAGAGAAATTGACAATTGTCTAAGTGACAACTGCACGTTGAGACAACTTGCAGATGACGGCGTAGTGTCTATGACAGGACCCAGAGAGGCCGACCTGCAAGGACCCTTACAGGATACCTTAGACAATTTGTCTACTTGGGCTATCCAGCTAGGTATCGAATTCTCCACGGAGAAAACTGAGTTGGTCGTTTTTTCTAGGAAGCATAGCCCAGCACAACCAAAGCTTCAACTTTTGGGTAAACAGATCACTCATTCTATGTCCTTCAAATATCTTGGGGTCTGGTTCGATTCAAAATGCACCTGGAGATCCCACATTGAGTATCTGAAGCGGAAATGCCAACAAAGGATCAATTTTCTCCGAACAATTACCGGAACGTGATGGGGAGCCCATCCGCAAGATCTTCTAACGTTGTACCGGACAACGATTTTATCGGTTTTAGAGTACGGTAGTTTTTGCTTCCAGTCGGCGGCTAAAACGCACATCATCAAACTGGAACGGATCCAGTATCGCTGTCTTTGTATCGCGTTAGGATGCATGCACTCGACTCATACGATGAGTCTAGAAGTGTTGGCGGGCATGTTGCCACTATCGGATCGGTTCTCGGAATTGTCCCTCAGGCTCCTCACCCGTTGCGAAGTTATGAACCCACTGGTAATCGAAAACTTTGAAAAGCTTCTTGAGCTGAACCCTCAAACTCGTTTTATGTCATTGTACTACGTGTACATAACACAGGATGTCAGCCCTTCACAGCATAATCCTCATCGTGTATGCTTCTCCGACTTCGGCAATTCAGTTAGTTTTGATTTATCTATGACGCGGGAGATTCGTGGGATCCCAGAACATCATCGTTCCATGATTGTTCCATCAATTTACGCTGAAAAGTTTGGCCAAGTTGATTTCGCAAGATCGTTCTTCACAGATGGATCACTAATAGAGTCGTCCGCTGGTTTTGGTATTTTTAACGAATTTCATAGCGCCTCTCGAATGCTTCAAGCTCCTTGTTCCGTATATGTTGCTGAGCTGGCGGCAATACATTATACGCTAGAAACGATCGCCTCACTTGCACCAGATCATTATTTTATTTTTACGGATAGTCTCAGTTCTGTCGAGGCTATTCGCTCTATGAGGCCGGTAAAGCACTCCTCGTATTTTCTCATGAAAATACGAGAGCTTTTAAGTGCTTTATCTTTAAGATCTTTTGTCATCACCTTTGCATGGGTCCCATCTCATTGCTCGATTCCGGGCAATGAGATGGCTGACTCACTTGCTAAGGTGGGCGCTATGGAAGGCGATATTTACGATCGACAAATCGCCTACGATGAATTTTTCTTCATTTATCGTCAACAGTCACTCGTCAGCTGGCAGAATAAGTGGAGTGAAGGGAGTTTGGGACGATGGCTATATTCGATCATCCCTAAGGTGTCGAAGAGTTTTTGGTTCAAGGGGTTGGATGTGGGTCGAGACTTCATTCGTATGATGTCTCGCCTCATGTCCAATCACTATTCGTTAAACGCTCACTTGTTCCGTGTTGGGCTGGGGGACAGCAATCTCTGTGAATGTGGACAAGGTTACCAGGACGCAGATCACATTATTTGGTCTTGTGCTGAGCATCGCGGAGTCAGATCTGAACTGTACGATTCCCTTCGGGCTCGAGGTAGACAACCTAATGTTCCAGTTCGGGATATTTTGGCTAGACGCGATCTGGAGTTTATGAAACTCATATATGTTTACTTTAAG